CTTTGTTTCTAAAGTCTTTGGAGAAAGTATTGCAAAGCATTTCTGTTTTTTGACCATAAAGGGCCCCTGTCAGTGTTATTTAGCAATAAGATAACATTTGACAAACATCAAGATCCTGTTTATTTTTCCCTGTTTCTCTCTGTGCCTCATCTTATTCCTGAAGTTAGCTTCAGAATGTTTTCAAATTCAAGTCATTGTTCATGCAGTCTAGCCCTTATGTATGCTAATTGCTCACCCCAGCAAATAAAATAGTTTCAGAAAAGCAAAAACCCAGAACTATAAATCTGCAATTTTGGCTTCACTCTGGAAAGTAGTCTAGCTAGCTGTGGTTAAAAGCCTTTACCCTTTCTCTTCTACTTTCTGGTGAAGAGTACTATGAGGAACTCATAAAGTTAACTTTTGAATAAAGACAGACAGGTGTCAATAATGCTAAGAAAGAAGTTTTAAATTCTTGCTGAAAATCTTTAGGATCAAAACTCACTTAGCAGAAGTTTGTGTGTCAGACATTGAATTGTTATTAATGATGCGATCCTGATCAGGTCACCATGTTGACTAGTAAGGTACTCAATATGAACACGGCAGTGATAGATACACCTTTATTTCAAATGTGACCCTGACTAGTACAGTCACAGCAGGGTAGGTGTATTTGCTAATTGCTCAAACTGGACCACTTTCCCCTTAATTCTTTTCCTCTCTTGTTTTGTGACATACAAATACATTTATGTAAATAGTGATAACCTGACGTAGCCAGTCAGTTTATGTAGTCACACAATTAGTAAAAAAAAAAAAAAAAAAAAAAAAAAAGGAATTTACTGGGTTTAATTTTTTTTCATTATATGAGATCATTCAGATTTCTCAGTAAATAAAATAATAGTTTTAAATACCGAACAAACTAGCAAATAATCAATAGGGATAGCTTACAACTTTTATACTGAGCTTGTTATAATTAAAACCAGACTATTCAACAAAAAAGCAAAAATTATTTTATGTTATAAATTAATAGAGGAAATAATTTACAGTTTTTCTTTTCTCATTTGGGTGAGAAATAATTAGATGCTCTTTCTATCATAATGCCTGTGCTTGAGAAGAAAGTACTGGTAATAATCTCCTGGAGCAGGGCTTGGCTGAGGAAGATGCCTTCCCTGCAGCTCATGAGGCTTCAAGATCAAGGAGCAGGCACCAGGAATGGTTGTTGGAAGGGAGGATGAAAAAGCTTATCTGGCTAAGTTAGGAAGGCAAGAAGAGGAAAATCAATCAATCAATCAATCAATCAATCAATCAATCAATCAATCAATCAATCAATCAAATAGCCCCAATAAACAGAACAAACATAATGTAACAAAAAACAAAACCAACCCTAAAAGGTTTGGCACCAGTGTCTGTTAAGAGAATAACAGATAGGGGATGGAAAAAGCAAGAGGCATGTGTCACTTGAAAAAGAGTTGGGGAAGAAGCAACTCTGAGCAAGAAACAGAGATGACCATGGCTGCTGTTATCTCTCAGAGGCTATCTGCAGTATAGTCCCTAAGCTGCTCCTAAAAACCGGACATTGATTACCCACAATTTTCATGGACAGGAGCTCTGAATATCGGTGGCAATAAGATACAGATGTCTTAGTTTAGTCTGTCGAAGGCATGAGCTGGAATGGGATGTGTCTGAGTTGGAATAATGTGGGGTGAGGAAGAGATGAAACATAACATCAAATAGTCAATTAAATAGGTACTTATGAATGTCATACATACTTACATATGGTAGCATACATAAATTAAATTAGGAGTATCTGTGTGTCTGTGTGGGTTTATGCACATGCATACAGGTCCCCATGGAGTTCAATGATGGCTGTTGAGTTTCCTGAGCTGGAGATGGTTGTGAGCTACCCAACAACATAGGTGCTGGAAACCAAATTCTGGCACTATTCAAGAATAGTAACCATTGAACAATCTTACCACCCCCTAACTTTAATGTCTTTAAGGGCCATCTTGTTTTTACTTTGATTCTACTTTGGATTACTTTGCACTATATTGAAAGAGCATAATTTGAACATAAATTGAAATTGAAGTCTGATCTTTGGTGTCAATGGAATTTTTATTTGTTTAGATTATTTAGAGAAAGCTAACTGAAGTGTTTATATAGAAAACATCATTTTCTATAAGATAAAACTCAAGCCCAGTTTAGAAGAGATGCCTAGCCTAGTTTCTTATATACACTGATATTCAAGAAAGACATTCTGTTTCATTGGCAACAATTGTTTCTTTAGGATTTACCATATAGGATACACTCTTCATATTCTAATTTATAATCATGGAAGATGGCACTATTCAGAAAAAAAGTATAGCTTAGAATGACTGGGTTAAATTATGTTTTAAAGTTAAAATAAATTCTTTGATAATAATTTTTTTATATATCCCAAAAGGGCTTCTGTGAGTTCAATAATTTATTTTTGTTGGTACAAGAGGAGTAAGAGTCTTTGTCTCTATCCTTTATAAAATGAATTGCTCTAAATCAAGATTTAAATCTTGAAAAGATTACCTTTTTTAACATCCTTATTCTTTATTCCAGGAAAGCTTTTATTATTGGGGTATTAGTGCTGTTGAGTGTTGCACATGGTCACATGAAAACTATATTGTCTAGAAGATGGGCTGACAGACTGACTGGCAGAATAATGACAAGCATATGAAAAAATGCAGATGTAGAAACTGACATGTCCTTTGTCCTCAAATTGATTGTCATTTTGATTTAGTTGAAAGGGAGTTTATGATCATGAAATGCTACAATAACTACATTATTCTTCTGCTATTCAGTAGCCTTTTAAAAACTTTTAGGCATAAATTTGTAATTAAGCATTTACCTCTGTCTAGTATATACGAAGAATGTATGAATAGCTATAATCTGTTGTTTTTTATTTTACAAACCAATTAAGTGTTGAGATGATAACCTAGAGCTAAAACTAGTTATTCTCAATATTCTCTAAAATAGCTATTCTAGGTGTTTCTTAAGCATTTAAAATTTTCCAAGCTAGTAACGCAATTTAAATTGAAAAGATCGGGGGGGGGGGTACTTATTTTAGAAGAATATAATAAGGGACTTTTGTAACTTATGTCAGTAAGAGTTCAGAGGTTACAAGGCACTCAAAATTTTATTATGTATGTAGAAGAGTACCTTCCTATCAACTAGAAGTTCCTAATTTTGATTGTACATGGGAATCATCTGCTGAGTTCTTACAGACCTGATGCAGATGTCAAATATCATTCATCTTAAAGAAGCTCTGAAGATAGGACCCAGATATCTGAAGTCTTAAAATGGCCTACTCTAACTTGTTGCTCAGGCTGAGCAATACTATTTTAGGTGCCCTTTAGAACACTAATGAAAGTCTTATGTCACCCAAACTCCAATATCTCTTTCCCACATTCCTGAGAAGGGGAGCAGAAAAGAGGATAACATTAAAGAAAATATTCAAGTTATCCCATTTTCTTAACACCAACAGTAACATCCAATTCTCAAATAGACAAACAAAACAAAAGCAGCATGACAACAAAACTCTGTGAGACTTACAGAGTTTAGAGAATCAAAACTTGCAGAAAATGTGGAGGAAAATCTGTGGGGACAGTTGTGAGGTGTCAAGAAAGGGATATCTTGACATATGTGCAGTGTGACATATTTTGGGAAGATTTAATTATCCTGGGAAGGTGTGGCAGGATAGAATAAACCACACTGGGCTGGGTGGGAAGGTCTTGGAAAAATAGAATTAGGTGATGTACCAGGTCTGATTTGTTTTGACAACGGACCTTTATTATTTATTCCAAAAAATTTCACAATATTAGATCAGTGGCCAAGTTATTAAGCCCCTTTATAAGATCTGTAGAAACAAAACAAAAGAAATGTCAAACTGTAAATCAGGATTAAGATTCTGACCCCCAGTTAGATGGGTGAGTGGTTGGGTGGATCTAGGAACCTCCGAAAAGATCATTCAAACTGGTCAGTATTATGAAATTGTGAAACGCATTGGAATAGACTCAAATATTTGTTGTTCATAAATGAAAACTAAGCAAAATGACTTGCAAGAGATTTATTTTGAGGTGTTCTGTTTAGTTCATTCTCAGCACCTATTCGTGTATTTTCTTTGTGTCATTAACAATGAAGAAGAGGCAAGCCTAGATTTATAATTTGCCTCTTTTATTATTACTCATGTGAATTTGGATTACAAATTAGTTCTTTGAGTTTTATACTTCTTCCTACAAATTGGAACATAATCTCTATTTCAGAAACTTTAAAGAAATTAAAGAAAAATATACCAGAGGCTCTTAATAATTTCAAATACTTTGTTCTCATTCACTGATCTATGATTATTGCAATCACCACAATAGTATAAGCTTTGAACATGAAAGAACTATACACATTTATATAAAGAAAATGTACTAGTAGTATAAGTAATCCATATGCTAAGGGATGGGAATAGGTTGTCTATATCCAAATATGACATAGCCTTTTGCTATGATAAAGTTACTAAAATGATTGAAAGTAGATGTCCAAATGTTCCCGATCATCTTCGCATCTTACTTTCCACTAGGGACAATATAATCCTATTATGTCACAGCATTGTAGCTCTGCAGAGGGAGAAGACTTCAGCAAATGATACAAGGTGCTGCCTGTTTATGCTCAATAGATTTGTGGCCTGCTAGGTTTAGGCTGTAGTGTTGTTAGATCAGGTGTTTCAAGAAAAGATTAGTCCACATAAATTTCAGGCCTCTTAGTTTTTAAAGTATTGGTAACTAATTCTATTTTCCTTCAATATCTTATGGGCCAAACCAAACACATCTGAGGGAGACTGTGTGCTACTGGTGTGTAAATGTTGGCTTGTGAAGGTCACTTTCACTTTTAACGCTCTTTACAATGTGAGCACAAGAATGGTTGCATTTATTCTATAATCAAAGCCCACTCCAACTTGGGAACAGATGCAACTGTATTTGTGATGGCAGAAGCCAAAACATCTGAAGACTCACCCATAGAATGTGAGGTACAAGAAGCCAATCCTTTTCCCAAGTTTTGTGATCTCTCCACATTTGTCAGCTGCTCCAGTGAGTCTCACAATGCCCACTTTCTTGAGGCTGGAGAGCCATTTGTATGCATGCTCATCTTCTTTTAGCACATCTTCAAAATTCAGAGTAGGCAACTGGAGCTCTGAGCCCCAGTACTGGCATTCTGTGGATTAAAAATTAAATAAAATAAAAAAAAATCTAGATGATCTCATTTTCAGACAAGACAACAACCTTGAAGGAATACACAGTTCCTTGGAGATGATCTTTGATTTGCTAAATGTTGGGCATATCAGGAATTCTGGTCACTGGGTCCTTCTTCCTTGGAACTGTGCCTATTATATGCCTTTTGCTTACAATATGTCTGGCCTACAACTGGTATTCAGTATGCCCCATCTATTTGAAGAATGTTGATTAGATAATACAGGAGAGCCCTTGAAATCTATATCATTAAGACTCCTCAACCCAGGCACTGCTTAGAAACAACCATGAGATACTGTGTGCATAACAGGCATCTGATTCCAAATACTGATAAAATTAGGTTTCTGAACTAGAACATTATGACTATTGTGGCAGGAGGGTAAGTACAGATTCTTCTTCCCCTTATTGTGCTTGAAAGCTATCTTGTGACCAAGTGTGTCCCTGGAATGCATAGAGCCTTGAGTGGCAGTGCCAAAGGGGTAAAGGCCAGATGCCTTTCTTTGTTCTCTCATGCATGACAATGAAATGGTTGTAAATACATTTGCTTGAGAAAACAGAAAGGAAAACACATAAAAAATTATGGGCTTGCAAACCACAATTTCCTAAAGGAAGTAGAACTCAAGAGGAATCACTTGCTGACCAATTCACGATCTTTCTCTTTTGTTTCAATTAATTTTTATTTAAATTAATAACAATTTTATTTTACATACTAATCCCGGTTCCCCCTCCCTTCGTCTTCCCATTCTCCCCACCAATCACCCATCACCCCATTCCCCCCCCCCATGCACTCCTCAGGGAGGGTGAGGCCTCCATGGTAATTCTTGAGTGTATTAGCTTCCCAGTAGTTATTAGTTAGCTTTTTTCTTTACACAAGCCTAAATGTATTTTAGAATTTCATAAGACACTTTCAAAGATCTCAGAGTCTATGGAGAACTTGGATACTGGTGATTTAACACAGTGTGGTTGAAGCTATAGTTGAAATGTGTTCAAGATACTGCAAAGGAGCTGATTTCATAGCTGTCTGATGCTTTCTATGATTCCTAATGACTCTTTTATCATACAAGATGTTTCCCAGCTCTATTTCTCATACACCAAATGTTCTAAAAGCCCAAGTTGGTTCTATGTGAAAGAGACTCTTTGCAAATAAACAATACACTGGGTTTTGTTTTTAATGTTGAATTACATAGCTAGTTGTTTCACCATTATTGTTTGTTTATTGCATTTAAAATTTTCAGACTATAGTAACTGAGAAGTTTCTGGAAAGAAGGTGATGGCTGTCATTATTATTGCATAGAAAGGCCATTTGGTTTTTATTGCGGTAAATAAGGATCAGGATAAACAAATAGGCCGAATAGATGTTTATTCAGGGAGAAATAACTTACAACCTAGACAGATGAACACCAGGGAATTCAACCCGATCCTCTCCTGTCCGAGTCAGGCCAGAAAGAGAGAGCACCTTCCTGGCCCCCTCCGACCTCCTTCCTCAGGTCACCTCCGCCCATCGCTCCACCCCCCCAATGGGTGTGGTCAGTGCTACAGAAGGACTACCTCACTACAATTCCCCTTTTAGTCTAAAGAAAAGATTTAGGCTTAATACAAAACTATATACAAAACAGTGAATAACAAGTGTGCTCTAAGAAAAGGAGAATCGAGAACAAAATGACCTACATATCTAGTCCTAGGGTGAGGGCATAATGGAGTTTACAATAGAGTTGTCCTAAGCTGGAAAACGTAAGTCTAGTACCTAATATATCTAACTAGGAAGAGAGAATAATAGTTGTGATAGTTTAATCTTCAACCTCATCAAGACCTGAGAAGGAAATTAACAATGCTAGAGTAGACAGGAAATGTAGATGGACAACTTCCAAAAGGTGCAGCAAGGACAGAAACAGCAAGCCACCTGAACAGTCACCCTAGGTCTCACAGCGACGTTGGTACACCCAGATTTGGCTAAGGCCAAGAGAACTTGACAGACCACAACAACAGCAGGGAAATAGAATGGCTGTCTTACCCTGACTTGGCAAGGTCAAGCAGTCTTTTATATTTGTCTCCTGTAAGTACATAGGACTGCATGTCCAAATCAGTGGTCAAGGTGGGGGCAATTCTATGCCCAACAGGCCATTAGCTGAGGCGAGATTGAACTCCAGCAGGAGCAACAACAGTGTCCAACATATTTTTGGGAAAGTGCACGGTGCTGTCAGGAGCAACAGTGTCTCATGTCAATGGAGTACTAATATTAAAACATTTAAATGCCATGTTCTGTATGTCTATGAAGTGACTGAAGATTAAGCATCTATATCTGACTAATCTCATAGGTACAGGAAATGTGAGTGAAGATAATCTGTAATACTCGGGAACTTAGCTAAAAACACTGATTAAAATTTTCCTGAGTAAAGCAGGAACAAATACTTAAACAATATAACTATTTACATATACCTACATGTAAATCCCTAAAATAGAGGTAGAGTATAAGTGTCAAGACAAGAGGTAGAACTATAAAGGGCAGCAAGATAAATATCCCAAATTGTATCAATATACAAAATGTCTTGAATACAGGAAAAGTATACATACATACATAGAATATGGTAAAAAATAATGTGCATAAAATATTATAAGTGGAAACATTTAACACAATATAACAAAATATAAACTTAATTTTACACATAAGAATAGACAACAATGTAAGCTGTAAAATACTATCTCATTCTTACTCAAATTCTCAAGAAAATAGGCTAATCTACCTATATCCCATCTAAACCATACCTTTACCAACCATTATAGCTTACCACATAAGAATAGACAACAATGTAAGCTGTAAAATACTATCTCATTCTTACTCAAATTCTCAAGAAAATAGGCTAATCTACCTATATCCCATCTAAACCATACCTTTACCAACCATTCCCTATTCCTGTCTAAAAGATAAACCTGAGTGTAAGCATCACCCAATCCCAAATTTTCAGTTAGGAGAAAATTTTCCAAGGCAAAATAATTAGTGTTAATGGGCATACATAATGAAGCTCACCTGGATTATATACAGACACTGAGAATAAATATTGAAAACACTTTAGAGCTTGTGGAATCTCAGAGGAAAATCAGGGAATAATAGAAATATCAGCAGTCTGTGGAAGTAGAGAATCACTGGACATTTTCATATTGGCTTTGCTATTCTATTACTACTCAACTATTCCTATTATTGCCTCAACTACAAGGAATGATTCCTCTATTTTCAAGCTCTGTGGAAATCTCCACAAAGGTTAAGTAATTTATATATGAAGATTTATTTTAATGTTTAGAAAAAAATGTTTCATATTGTAACTAAAGCAGCATAGGCAGAAGTTAACAACACGATACTGTTCAGTAAAATGTTCTGAAGTGATGGAAGTATCTGTGTGCTCCAGTACCAGAGCTACACATTAACCCTTGATATGTGGGTGACAGAACAGGGAAACAGGATTTCATTTATTTGCTTTTAGTTTTTAGCTAAAAGTTGAACCCTTGTATGAAACTTGTATTAGACAAGGCAATATGGGGAGGAAATGGAGGCAGAATGGTGTGCTTTGAATTATTGTTCTGCCTTTCATCAGCATGTTCTTCCTAGGAGTCTGAGTGTCAGCTTAATTTGTTAAACAAAGGTTGCTACACTTTCTCTGCTGGTCTTTTATAGCTGTCATGAGACTGTACAGAGACTCATGGCACACAGTAATTTACATTGCAACAGCTATTTGCTAATCATTTCTAGGAGTTATACAGAATGCTCGATGCTTTCCTATTTTATTTCTTTTATTCTCCATAACAAATATGTGGGGTAGATGATCTTAGTACTAACAAATTATAAATAAGGGGAACAGTACCCCAAGGCAGTGCTAGTTAGTAAGATCCAGGTGACTAATCCCAATGATTACTTGAACATATAAGTTGATGATTTGAAGTACTATTCTCATGAACAGTTTTTGAGGTTATAATTACATTTCTCACTTCTTTTTCTCCCTCCAAACCTTCCCATTAAGCCCCTCCCTACTCTCCTTCAAATAGATGAACTCTTTTTTTTCAGTGCTTATTATTGTATACATACATGCATATATATATATATGCATATATATTCTTAAATGTAACTTGTTCATTCCATATAATGCTACTTGTATGTGTGTTTTCAGGATTGTCATTTGGCACTGGACAACCAATTGATATGCTTTTTCTTGTAGAAGACCACCTCTCCTATTCCCAGTTTTCTTCAGTTGTCTATAATTCTTTGTGTAAGGTTGAGACCTCATGAGCATATTTTTATGTTGTCTATTGGAATGTCCATAGAGTATCCTGTTCTTTACAAAGTAAATCTAATAGGTAAAAAGGAAAGCAGGGAAGTTATTACTGAGTAACAGCTTTGTTTGAACTTAATTAAGCTTGGACATTTAAAGGTAAACCTTCACAACTAGTTAGGATTTCTTTGTTTTTCAAGACAGGATTTTTCTGTATTGTTTTGGAGCCTCTCCTGGAACTAGCTCTGTAGACCAGGTTGGCCTCAAACTCACAGAGGTCTACCTGCCTCTGCCTCCCGATGCTGGGATTAAAGGTGTACACCACCAATGCCGCCCTACTACTACTAGTCAGGATTTTAAATGCCAAGAAAGCATTAGGAATAGGGTTCAGTTGCACAATATAAAATGTCACATTCTTCACTTTGTATGAAATCAACACAAGTTTTTCATGTTTAAAAATACTTTCCCTTTTGTAACTCCTACCAGTGGATTCAGGCCTTTTTTTTTTTTTTAATTTATTAAAGGTTAATATGCTCAGAAAACTTCAGGTATTATGTGAAAAGGAAATAAAACTGAAATCAAAATAATTTTTACAGCTCTGCATTTTGATTGGTGGTTGTTCTCTATAATGGTCTATGTATGCTCCAAATAGAAGTTTTTTCAATGGGACGGAATGAGGCTGACACTTATTTGTGGTTATAAGAAC